CAGATGTGTAAACAATGACTCATCGGTGTTAAATTTCACAGAAGGGCGAGACAAAGGAAGTTAAACTTTGAAGCTTTTTCTTCAAAATTAACGCATTTCTTTCGTTTTTTTTCAGTTTTAAGTATTTTTTATGTTTAATTACATTTATATCAAAAATTGCTAGGAACTAAAGAGATTAAGGTAGATCTACCTGTCCTTTACATCCATAAACGTTATATGTCAGCGGAACAAATGGAGTGAGCTTTGAGCGTTCCACGATTTTTGGAGACTGTCCGTACGCGGGCTTCCTAAACAAGCCTATATGTATGTTTGTCTAAAAAATTTTTGGACGAAATACAAACCGCACAACTTCAAAATCGCATAAAAATAATCCGCATAAAAAGAGACCTTACAGTATACGGGATCTGGCTATCCTTGTAGTTTATCTTGTGTCGTACTACTTTATAGTAGTTTAACACTATTATGCAAATTTTTAGAATTGAAATGGTCGCGGAGGATTGTGAGTCAAGACATTTATACGTGCAACTATCTATATTGTTGACATCGACGGACAAACACTATTTGTATGTTTAAATTAAATAAATAATTTAAATTAGCAAACAGTGACACTTTATTAAACTAACTTTTTCTCATTTTTTTCGTTAAGGCATGAAATATTATTTTGTACCATAAATGGTACTGAAATATTATAATGTACTCAAAATTTACTAAAAATCTAAGTGTACTTTCAATTTACTGGAAAGGGCAAAATGTACCCGAAAAGTACAAATGTACTAGGAATGGCAACTCTGGTTGTAAACCGTTTCGAATTTTCAGTTACTTGATGTAACGAATATTTCTAGTTTTCAAATTATCGAAACTATTAACGTCATTGGCCGATTCAAATTAAATTTTTTTTAGGATCGCGGCCCAATATCGTTATCGGAATGGATTCCAATCGTGCCATTGGACAAACTAGGACTAATCAAAGGTGAGAAAGATTTAAATTTGTTAACAACGCTTATTTGTGTCATTTCGTTGCTAGGAGCCGAAGTTGTTGGTTCAACGTTACATTTCCCGCTGGATTAAAGTAAGTTGCATTTTAATTATCGTCTAATTGTTTTAAGAGTGAGAATAAACCAAAAATCAAATTACCTTTTTCGTGTTTAAAGCGTTGTGATATGTTTGAAGCAGGTTTTAATGTTTCGTATTCACGTAGAACAATATTTGGTAAAAGAAATTAACTTTAAGATTTATTTTTCAGATTCAAGACACCAAAAATGGAAAGTATGCAATTCTTTTTGAAATGGAAAAACCACAGCGATATAATGGTTAACTTCAATCAATTATGGGCTTCGGAAGAAATGGTGGATGTAATTCTTTCGTGCAAAGATGGAGAAATGAAGGCGCATCGAATGATGCTGAGTGCCAGCAGTCCTGTCTTCAGGAGAATTTTCTCGAATAGTCCCAGTCAATATCAGATTGTCTTTCTTCGAAACACGAAGTACGCTGAGTTAAAAATGATTTTGGACTTCATTTATAAGGGTGAAATATGTGTGCCCGGCAGCCAACTGGGAGGACTCATAAAGACGGCCGAAGAGTTAAAGATAAACGGATTAGGAGAATTTGGGGAAGTAGACGAAGAAGTGATAGAGGAATCCATCGACTTTCCTTACAATCCACTGAAGGAAAGGATAAGAGAGAGAGAAAGCTCGTCGAGTGACAGCATCGAAGAGATCCCTGTGGAAACTAAGGATCCCGAATTTTCTTTCTCGACTCCGAACACGGCCAAGAAATTGAATTTTACTTCGCATAAAGACAAAATCGCAGAAGCTACATCGGCCAAGAATAAATTATTAAAGATCGAAAACTCTTCAACAATCAAACTACTGAAAGCCGCGATTGAAGAGGTAGGCTAAGGCTTAGTTTTTTTTTAAAACTCTACAGAAATAAAAAAAGTTATCAAAACGATAACGCTTGTGTGCGTAAACATATATGATTTATAATTTCAGGAACAGAAAGGCGAAAGTCTCGATTCGACTGCCATAACCGAACCGATCTTATCGCAAGATTTATCTGTATCTACAGTTTCATCCCAGTCGTCTTTCGAAGTGTTAAAATCTGTTAAACCTGTTTCAAAAGACTTCAAAATAAATGTTGAAATGAATGAGATGCTAAAAGCTAACCGTCAGTTATCTTGATTTATTTAATAATCCTAATTACTTTACATAATGTTTTAAATATATATATTTCAGAAATCGAAACATGGCCGAGTCAAAATCGTCCAGATACGATTGTTTCCGACACATCTGAAAATCAAGCGGATAATTCGAAACTGTTAAGAAGCAATTCTCGTGTAATAGAAAAATCTATCCTATCGAAGCCTAATGATTCTAAGGGTAAGTTCTTTTATTTATATTTTATTTTTTAGACCTCTCAATTTTGTGCGAATGTAAAAACTATGCATAATTTTTACAAAAAGTTTAAGTAATATTCACCAGTGAGGTGGTTTCTTGAATGAATATTTTAGCCATAAATATTTCAGGCCTCTCAATTTTGTGCTTGTTCTTCAGTAAGAGGAATTTTAATATATGGCATTATAGGTTATATTATTCGATAATATAACCTATAATACTAAACAGTATAAACACTATATTTATTGTCAATAAATATTGTTGCTGTTTTGGCCTTTAAAATTTCCAATATTCCAAGGCAATGGAACAGGGTTCCTACATTTTTTATTATTAGGCATTATCAATTTTGAATATATTGATGGTAAGAAATCTGGTGTTCACTATTCTCATGAAACAATAAATCAGTAAACTGTCTACACACAGTAATAAGTTCTGGTACATTGGAATAAAGTTGCAATACTGTAAAAGCTTTGTTTTTTGTGGACTATTGCTCTAGAAACATCAATTTATTTAATTTTTGGAGTATGTATGAATAATTCATTAACACATTCAATAAAGTGAATTACCAAATGTGTAGAAGCATCTATGTAATGCAATTTTTAATGTAGTGAATGTATTCAAAAGATTTTGTTTTTAAAAATTATAAAACAAATATTGTAAATATTCATGAAGCTATGTAATAATAAATTTTTTGTACACATTAGGTTTATGTAAACTTTTTTATTGTATAAATTCAATGTTCTGTTTAAATGTAAATAATGTTAAAATAAAAATATTTTTGGTTCTTAGAAACGTTTCTGTACTGTACATTTTAAAACACTGATCTATTATTGGGTTGCAATTTGAAAATTCCAATCTAGATTCCCACTGGCGTCCTTCATGCCAAGAATGATGAAAATTGAGACCAGATACGGAAAGCTTACCCCAATTAACTATATACGAACTTCTGATGCAAACCAGAAGGCACGTTATTTCCATTCAAAAAATCTTCCCTGAAACTTGTTAATGACCAGCACGATTTGATTACTAAAGGAAAAGTATGATGGACAGGAGCAAAACTACTAATTTGAGATGGAGAGCATAATTTTAAATTAAATAAATTTTTGGTAGCTGTAGCTAACTTGTAAGTCAGTTTCATTCATATTGCATACCTTAATCTGACTGTCAGTTTAAAAAATTAAAAGTCTGGCTTAAAAATTAGTGTGAAAGAAGCATTAATCAGTGTTTCTCAAGTTTGTCTGGAGTTGTTTTAAATGACCATAACTGTAACAGGTCAAGGTAACTTAGAACACCAGCTTAGGGCAAGTCTGTGAAGTTAAAGTTCACAAAACAGCAGACTACTTCTAGTAATACACCCTGGTGGTGAATATCTCCACAAGGTTTATAAACAGAAAGTGAGGACACCGACAGATGGTCCTCCCTAATACTTCCTACGTTAAACAAAGTGAATGGCCCTACCAATCAACAACAGGACTACTGCAAGTGTTTCGTTGCAGTAGATACAAATGACATTTTAAATTTTATTCTGCAAAATATATTTTCTCAAAATAGATTCAAAATTAGGAATCACAAAATCAATACAGTAGAGTCCCAAAAACTCGGCACTCAATAACCCGGCAGTCCAGATAACTTGACAACACCCTGGCAGAGCAAAAAAATTCTTAGTTAGTTAATTTTCATTATAGACAGCTTTATGCCTCATAAAGCATTTTTCTGAGGTCTGTCTTATCAGGTAAATTACTGTACAGTGTATTCATTAATTTTCATTTTCATGTAGTAAAGGCTCTATGCCTTCNAAGTTTTTATTATTTTATTTTTAATTGTAGCCCTTATATCGTGGCTAGCGATTCGGAATGTAATTGTGATATTAAAAATGCATTTAGAGAAGTCTACGGTTTTTACTGGCTTATCGAATAAACGATACTAATGGACCCTAGACCATCACTGACGCGCAATTGACTGATTGCCCCTGGATGTCGGCTTCTTACAGAAACACAGCTTCCCTATAGTCAAATGTCACGGCACGCCCCTGAATTTGGCCCATAAGGAAAAAAAGTTGGACAACTGCCCTACACCATATTTGATCCACTCTTCTCATTAGAATTGGTTTTTTTAATCATCCAGTAGTAATAAATGCATCAGGACTATCTAAGTTGACTTTTCATGAGAGAGATTTATTCTCCTAAGTTCCTGCTAGTCCTCCATCCGTTTGAGAATAGCAGCTCTATTCTTTATACAGTGGAGATAAAGTAGGTTTGATCTTCAGTTTTACATAAATTGCGTATTCAAATTAATGAAGGAAGTATTCTGAATAGAAACGAACATTAGCATTTGAACAAATTTATTAGCAGATATCTTGGTAATGACTAGCAACCAATGACATTTAACTACATCCATCCTTCTGATCGTTTCTTGATATTTTCCTGTTCCTCTTAGTACATTTTCAGCTGCTGCTTTTGATCTGTTGATTTTCCTGGTCTATGAAATTTCCAATTTTCCGAACTTTATTTTCTGCCAACTTTGCACGAGGCATTTTGCTTGCAGTAAACCGTTTTATCTAGTCACATGACTATTTTCAGTGTGCAAATTTTTATCCAACTGAGAAAAATCACGTATGTTCTGTCTTTATACTTCTGGACATGTCTAAAATTTTATGAAAATGAAGTAAGCTGTCACATGTTACTTTATTAATTAATGTTTAAATACTTAAATTGCGACGCCTATAACTCTTGTTGCACGTTGAAAACTTTATATTATTACATGACTTTTGAGATGTTAAAAATGTTAGTTTGGGCTCTCAAATTTAGGATAGTGCGTGTCTAACGTCGACCAAATTTTTCCGTAGTGTTTTAATTCCTTCCAAGCCCCTCACAATAACCTACATACCTTCAGTTTGAGGGCAGGTATTAATAAACCAGTCTAAAAATAAAAACCAAGTGCAAAATTAATAGTGACGTTTTAAATTGTTTCTTTTTCAATTTTTGTTTTAATAGTTTTGAAAAAAAATTTAACTTTGCTGAACTATCAACTTTGTTAATACAGTAGCCCCTCATTATATCGCGCTTGTCGAGAGAGAGCGAGCGCGCGACATATCTGGCGTCACGATATAATAGTACTAAAAATTCTGAGCTTTACTGTACAGATGATATAAATTCCACAATATATATAATCTGTTCTTTCATCAAGTGTTTTTGATATAAAATAAGCTTTGTTTTCAATACTTAATTTTATTTGTGATTATATTAAATGAACATCGAAACCACAAACGCCGATTTAGCATTTTCTTTAACAATGACATTTGAAGACAAATACTGTCGATATAAAAAAAATATCAGTTGCTATTTTATTATACAGTACTGTACTAATACACGAATTTTTAATAAGCGATTTAACATATTTTTCAATAAAAATTATAAATACCGTAATTTAAAAATTTAAAAAATAAATGTTAAACATAATAAAATGTCAAAACATAAAATTAGAGTAAAATTTTTCTAGCAAAGTTAGTACTGTATAAAAACTTACAAATTTTTGTTCAGAAATTTTCCCTGCATACACATTACGCGGTGTATTCGAAATTTCGCACATGCAACACTGTCAATTCACATAAAGGTGCGAAATTTCGTACTTAAAACCAATAAACAGCTTATAATATCAAAAGGAAACACAAATAATTCATTCTGTCCACCTGTTTTGCTTATTTAGATCTTGAATTTGTCACCTGCAGTGGTAGTTGCGAGGACAATGGTAGGAATAAAATACGGTGTTTCGTTGCAAAACGAAATTCAATGGCAATTGATACTTTTAAACTTGGACTCGAACGCTTAAAATTTGAGGGACTAAAGAAAAAGCGCGATATAACGAAGTGCTACTATATATTATAAAATTTGGAAAGTTTATTAAGGGACAATTTAATAAATTTATAGAATTGTTGATTTTCTTTTTGAAACCGTGTCCTGTTTTATATTTGTGGCGTAATAAACACTAGTATTATTTTTTATTCTAAAGACACATGGCAAATTTTCCATCAAGTTCCTTTATTCGTTGATACGGTACATTGTTTTTTACTCCTTTCGGGCTTTGCCCCTCTTCAGTCAACTAAAATACAATATATATATTTAACTTATAACAGTAGAGAGTTTACATAAAATAATGAGTAGATAAACGATATATAGACGTACCTTTTGTTACACTTTTTATAATTTAAAAACGTAAAATCTGCTTTAATCTTTGTATAACTAGTATATATTATAAATAAATTAAAAGGTTAAAAGTTCTAAAATCTTCTCTTATAAGCATATTTCGATACTACAAACTGTAAAAAATTTTTAACTGTTTCCTCCCCCTCTTTACCTTCCACCCCCTTTTTTATTTTTTCTTATGCGCTGNGAAAAAGTTTTCAGAGTCATAGAATTATTTAAACTTAAAACAAGACATTTCATTAAATAAAAAACCAGAAACAAAATGCATAACTTTCCATCTGTAAACACGACAACGTAGTAGAATAATTTGTGGCGTAATAAACACTAGTATTGTGTTTTATTCTAAAGACACATGGCATATTACCTTCCACCCCCCATTTTAAAAATAAAAAGGGGGTGGAAGGTAAAGAGGGGGAGGAAACAGTTAAAAATTTTTTACAGTTTGTAGTATCGAAATATGCTTATAAGAGAAGTTTTTAGAACTTTTAACCTTTTAATTTATTTATAATATATACTAGTTATACAAAGATTAAAGCAGATTTTACGTTTTTAAATTATAAAAAGTGTAACAAAAGGTACGTCTATATATCGTTTATCTACTCATTATTTTATGTAAACTCTCTACTGTTATAAGTTAAATATATATATTGTATTTTAGTTGACTGAAGAGGGGCAAAGCCCGAAAGGAGTAAAAAACAATGTACCGTATCAACGAATAAAGGAACTTGATGGAAAATTTGCCATGTGTCTTTAGAATAAAACACAATACTAGGTGTTTATTACGCCACGAAATTTATAGCTTTGTAACAATTACAAGATTTATTGATGAATAATAATTGTTTTATTTTCTCAGCTTAGGTATATAACACGGGAAAATATTGATTGAAATCGTCAAATTTGATCCTCCGAGTTTTTTGCAAATCTCCGTTTTGAGACTTCTTGAATCCAAAAATGGCAAAAAAAAAAACCGTGTGTTGACGTCTATTTCGTTTAGTATCTCAGGATGGGGTGGTTAGCTTGTGTATAAGGGCATTGATGCTATTAAATTGTGGTGGTTATAGATCGAGGAGTGGAGAGGGGACTCGAGTGGAGTCGGACTTCAAGATGATCTTACTGGTTATTAGCATTTATAATTTTTATATGTACCCTCAAAATTAAACTATTTGCGGTTTTGTAATTATTAATAATATAAAAGTTTTTTTAATGCAAACAAATTTTAAATATCTTATTACGTCGTCGTGGGAAAGTTATGCATTACATAACGAGGCGGACGAGAAGACGGAGTCCACCTTATAAAAAAATATTACTTTGTTTACTTTTCCTGAAAATTCAGAAATGGCAATTTATTGCTTCCACAAATTATGCATTTAACTCTATTTTTTATATTTACACCGCTACAAAGGAAATCGAACACAACGGTAAATTGATCTTTTTCAAGATGTGAGGCTCTGGACAGGTCC